ATAAATATAGACATTCTTCAGTTATTATCAGCGTTTGACCAGACTAATTATGTTGAAACATATTTGATTTAACAAGTAATAACCGTATTTGATGTCTATGGTATATCGTTTTAAAACAGAAATAAGACCATTAAATTAGGGAGAGTCTCACGTTAAAATCATATATCATTTTAGTTGATGCAAAATTCTTTTTCATTCCATTTGCGTAGGAGGCTGTCTGCTTATAGACACAATCTCGAATCCATCCTTGGAATCAACCAGGACTGCTCAATGAGTGTAAAATGTCTTGCACAAGGGGACAATACGACCAGCTATATCGTCGTGTAAATAATTTGGTCTTGCCACCAAGAAACTATTAAAAAACTCATGACATTACTGTCTTATTTATACAGTACACATGACGGAATAAATGGTGTAATCATAAAAAAGTCATTGTTTATAACGCATCTAATGTTTTTTTATGATATTCAGCTTCAATAAAGAAAATGTTCACCTGTTTTGGGCGTAAAAGTAAGAAATATAACATGTTCACAGTATATATATTGATATACCCTAAAACAAAATGTATACCATGTCTTAATTATAAAAAAAAACAAATCAAATGTTTAATATTTTATCATCAGTTAAGTTAAATCCATATGAAATATAGCAGTCATAATTTAGTTTATGTTCTGAAAGATGTCATTCTGATTTCCTATTTTTATTATTCATAGTTACTAATCGTCCGTGCTTTGCCCGTTCGCCCTCTTCTATTTATATTCATTTGGTATTCTGCCTGGGACGTCTTGTCGATGATCCAGTGTTGCTTGTTGGGGGATGTGTCCATTGGTTGTCGCCATTCGTTATCATAATTAACTGGAAATACAAAAATGTTTCCAAGATACACGCATGGCACCAGCCAAAAATGTAAACATGGACACATGATAATCATAATAACATTATGTACAGTACAGTCACGAAATAATTATCACTTTCAATGAGATGCATAAGTGGATATTCATTTAATTGAAAAACACTTCAGAAATAAAGTAATAATTTAGTTATAGCAGTCACGTTAGGCAATATTATTACAGACACGACATACCTCATCCAAACCTAAATAAATCAATCGGACAGACCACCGAGATTTGATCCAACTTGTTTTTAAAATTGGCGTATATACTAACAAGCATACAACATCGTGATACATTTCATTCAAGAACTTGTAGCATAGAAATTTAGTGATTTAATGTTAACACTTATAATTATCTTGATGCATTTTTACAATACAACTTACATGTTTAATTTGAACAATATGCGCTAACATGTCTAGACATATATTTAATATTTTAAAATTAATGAATTCACAACAAAATCAACAACGCAATTACATTGTTTTTTTATTTTACATTGGAGTCTTATTTAATGCAAACAAGCAAACTTCCGAAAGCACACGGTAGCAGTTCCATTTCGAAAAGGATTGATTCATGACGCCCAGAAAGCTGTTCATAAGGAGCACAAAGTCGCAAAAACAGTACAGATAAAGACTAAATGTCGGCAATGTAATTCAATTTCACTTAAAATTGACAATTTTAGTTCTCAGATATGGATTATAGCTTGAATTTGATGAATGAGTAAAATGACAATTACAGCTTCAACAGCTATCATAATTTTTTAAGATAACCAAATACGGGTTTCTGTCTATTGGTATTCTTTCTGTAGATTTAGAAAATGAAAGTAATAAGATCACCTCTAGGGATATTTCATTGTTGTAAAAAGGTACGGCGTTTCTTCTTACTGTTTCTATAGTTGCTTTCTATGCTCTGTTGATCCATAAATCTAGCAAATGATTTGCTTTTCAATGTTCATGGGACAAATATAAGGACATGTTCAACAAATTTAGGGTAAAAATGTTACAAATCACAATACATGTACATACAATCTACTTGTATTCCTCTACAAATGACAAAATAGGGATTAAAAGATCACATGGAACCTGTAAGGAAAATAACAGTGATGGTTGAGTCTCTTATGATTGAGGTGTTTAGCTTAAAATCGAGAAAAAGGTTGCCGCCATTAAATCAAATAAATGCGTATCAAATACATTACTAAATATGCATTAAATGTTCTTGTTGTAAAGCAATTAAACTATGTTATCTGCTTGCATTACCTTCATTTTTAAAAACAGTAATATTCAATATCATCTTCAATTCTTAACAGGAAAACTACTTAGAACATCAAGATTTAATAGAAAACATGATCGTTTCTCTCAGTTGTCGACTAGAATTGAGGCAATCATAATTCTACCATGAAACAAGGTTAATAGCTTTCGAACAATTTCACAAATTTTTGCTATCGTAACTGACAATGATCGTTTTAAATGAGCAAATTAGTATCTCTCAAATTAATGGGAAGCCTATTATTCGCTATTCGGACAAATTAATTGTGAAAGTATTTCGTTTCCTGCTTCAAATTGTCACGTTTCTTAAGTAAAAATGGAAATCGAAGAGAAATGCTATCATTATTTGTTATTTTTATTTAAAATTGTCTTTAAAACAAGAATTATAATTATCGTGTTTTCTCTTAAATGTATAAACGTGATTTATTTCTCAACCTTGACTCAGAAAAAAGGAAAATATGTTCAAGTTGAGATTATAAAATAATCTTGATTCTAGACATTGCAGACGTAATTGTCAGTCACAGTTTAAATCAGGAATTTAAATCGCGCATCTCTTCATTGAACATCGATTCGGGGGATTCGTCCTATTGCTAACGTCATTTTGAATTTATGTTAAAACATTTAATAACGAATATCAGAACAGTTAATGATGTACTGTTTCCATGAGGTAGAATTGTTAATATGTTTGTACATCTGGAATCCATTTTGAGGCTTCTGAAACATTGAAACTTTTAATGTACTCCAACTAAAGTACAAGGAAATTAAATGAAACCAACCGATTTCAACGAACCAAGTACTTAATTACCTGGACACAATCCATTTAAAATATCTGAAAAAATGGCAACGAGTAGAGTATACTTGTTTGTTTGAATGATCAAAATATATTTTACAGAGTGAACACCAAATGTAATATTTTTACGAATGGGATGAGCTGATGTTCGCAAATTACATGTGACCATCTTTCAAACAAAACAAAGACATAACATGTGTATATATGTAATGTATTGAGAAGGTATTTTGTCATTTTTTCAGATTTTCTTGCCGCATTAGAACATTTGCCCTCATCCTTGACGTCATGCTTTTTTGTTGTTGGTAAACTTGTTTGGAATACCCTACTTCTCAGGTGCAAACTACTGCAATGACTCGGCTATGTAACGATTAGATGGTTGGTGAAATCGTGCGCTTGCACATACACAGACCCATTAAATATAACTGTTGTGCAAGTGTGTTCATAAGATAACATTATAAGTCAGTCAATGTCATTAAGTCTTACAGCTAGGGTTTGACATGTAATGACTTTTATCTGTATTTCAGTTTGAAAATAACAATTGATTTTTTATGAAATGCTGAATATATGCAATTAACAAGTAGAAATGACATATTACTTCCAGTCCCGTCATGTCAGAAAAAAATAAAAAAAGTCAGCGGAGCCTCTTTATAGAAACGACAAAAAATAAAATTATAAACAAACAAATTGAACACTTACGGTATTAAAATGGTACAGAGAACTTATGTTTAATACTTTTATATGATAGTGATTTAAGCCAAAAGCAAGAAATAATTCAATAGGAGTACCGTGAAAACAAAATTAATCTTTAAAGATTGTATTTTAAGTAACAGAAGTAAACACGTACATATGTGATGCTTGTGGAAGAACATTTTCAGGATATGTTGCAGAGCTACAATGTTTGATCTTCAAATCAACATTTTTTTACAGATTTGAATTCAAGAAAAAAGACGACAAACAATTTTTAGTAGAACACCATATCTTCATGCCTGTCACATACAAGTAAAATGATCCGTACCATCATTAAGAGAGAATGTCAATTTTGCGTGACATCCTTAAGTTAATTTAACTTTTCTAATACCATTACGTGGTGATTAAATGTTTCCGCATGTCTCAGTTTCAGAACAAAACTGTAAATGTAACAGTGCATCAAATTTAGCACTGGTAATTTACAAAGTACATTCAGTGAAGGTACATTCATTTGGGAAGCTGTGACATCTTATACATAGATTTGTAGGAAACAAATTATTCGACGAAATGTATATTTCTCCTAGTTAAATTGCATTCATAGATGCATTCAAGATAAAGTCAAATTGTTTAGATAAATCAAAATACTGATTCAATCTCCCATATAAATGGTTTTGATATTTATTTTCAGATCTTCTCACATGGCTGTATTTTTTTCTGTTTTATTGATTAAAATAGGAAATATATATAAAGCTCATGATGTCCTTCACTGCATACTTTTTAAATATTTTGAAACTTCTCGTCTGGTGATTTGTGAACAGTTGGGTAAGGAATGACAACGGAAAATACGCACAAAATGATATCAAAAATGTGACATTTTAAGTAGATTTCCGAGAACCTTATTAATGTTATTTTAAATAACAGAGAATATCGATCTTATTTTGATATTGCTTAAGGTGCCCTACCGACTGGTCCGTAATTGTTTTGCCATGAAACAAGAATAAATGGCTTTTACCAAATAAATACGTTGTCTCATGATTAAAACAATGTCGGCACTAACAAAAAAATGAAATACATAAATCAATTCAAATAAAAAGTGTTCAATCGCGGACATAACTTGAGGCAAGGAAGCTGACTTGTTTAAATTTCACCATTGGTACTGTGTAATAATTTCACAAAAATCAAAGTAAATATAGTTCTTGTAAAATTGGATTCATATCTTTGTATCAACTAAACCAACATACATCATTTAAGCTTCATCTTTTCTAACTAGAATCCTTAAAAAATGAATACCTAAAACAAGGAAATATAAATTAAAATGATGCAGGATCAGTTTGATCAATTGGAAGCTACTTAAGGTAGTGCGACTCTAATTATTTCCCGCCATAATTTAAAAAGATCGGTCGATGTCGGGTAAGTCCGTGACTTTCGGAAAAAATATTGAAATTTATTTGCGTTACATATTTTTATATATATTGTGTAAAATCTGTCATTATTTGAAGTAATACGAATATCTTTAGCGCAAATTTCTCAATATATTAAAGATTTAAAAAAAAATATGAAAAAAATCAACCGGAAGTAACTAGTTTCCGCGACCAACGTTCTATCGAAAACAATGGAAAGAAATAAGAAAGGCCGATTCACAAAAAGAAATTACACAGCATGGCGGCAGAAGAAAGTGCAAAACGATCACGATTATTGTGTTAAGTCTGATTCTAAGCCAGATATTAAATGTGTTGAAGGAGAATCTTGGAAAGTTGGAAGAAGATTGGTGGAATGGGAGGTTCTGTTTGAAAATTTACGGTACTGTAAAAACTGTCGCCTAGGGCCAGTAACATTGTCAGTCAACACAATAAGAGGCGAACTTCAAAAAGGTCTGTCGGGTTATTTGTACGTCGAGTGTCAAAATTGCTGTTTTGTGAATTCTGCAGCCTATGGAAAAACACATAGAACATCCAAGAATCAAGGAATGCCATGCTTTGCTGTGAACACCAAGCTTGGAACAGGTATTTATTTGGTTAATAAACTGAAAGAATTTGTTCACTGGTTAAATTTATTTATTTATTTTCTTAATTGTAACAGTGTTTTTTTCCCTTGCTTTGGAAATGATGCCGGTACTGGATGAATTTGGAAAAATGCTTAGGTTTGACTCAAATTGGGAATTTTGCACATTATTCATTGGGAACTTTTTTATCCATGGAGACAAAAAAATATGCATAATACAATTTTACATATTAAAAGATGTATAGGTGTGAAAGTACGAAATGAACCGAGTACAAAAAAAAATTTTGATTAGGTGCGAAACACGCAAAGTACGAAATAAACTGAGACCAAAAATCAGTTTTATTTAGGGAATTTATCGGTCATGAACTGGGAAAATTGCTTCTTTTGGGAACAGTGCCGTTTTCCGGTATTAATCATATAAGAAAAGAAAAACCCTGATGTAACACAGACAAATTTGAAGGGAAAGGTGCACATAGAGTTTCACTTTGTCAAATTCATATTTGATGTAAAATAAACCCATCACTTTTGAATTTTTATAGATTTTTGAAAATATATGTTTCATGATTCTCATTATTACAGATAATTGATTTTATCTACCACTCTCTTTTCAGCCATGATTGATAGTCTAGGTGGACCAAGGCGTGTTAACAACATGTTGGCAACATTGAATCTGAAAACAGTCTCTGAGACTAATTTGAAAAAGATGGAAAAGAGGGCAGGTGTTGTGTTAGAGAAAGTTTCAACAGAGTCGGCCAACGCTGCAGCTGATGAGGCATTTAGGCTTGAAATGGAGTGAGTTTGTGTTTGAATCTGATATATTTTTACTTGTAAATTACAATAATTTTTTTTATTCAGGTAAACATTAGTCTGATTTTACTTTGTATTTGTTTATAGATATATGAATCTTTTTTTTTCTTAATTTAACATACTAAACTTAGTGGGATGTTTATTAATTATGGTAAATAGTTACAAAGTCTTCATATGAAATTCAATAAAATTCTGTACACATTATAGGTCTGTCGCTGAGAAGGAGTCACTTGAAGTACAGGCCAGCATGAGTGGTTTGGTGGAAGAATTGGGTGTCTGTCCAATGCCAGATTCATCCCCTGCACTGATGTATGAAAAATCTTTTTATATAAAACTAAATTATTTTAAAAAAGAAAGCATTAATTTTTATTTTCAATATGTATAGATATATAGTGTGCTTTATGCCTAAAGTCATGAACTAACTTACATGTATATATTTTCTGCTGTGATAAATATTCGGTTATATTTATTATTATCATTATTATTTTTAGTTATTATTAGTATATATATTTTTAATTGTTATTTAAAAAAAAAATGCAAGTTACAACACATATCAGGATTCTTTCAGTCAATATTATTAAGTGTTTATATATAACCACAGATTATAATGCCAGTACATGAACATGATAGTTTGAAAAGAATACTCATGCCATGTCAGTTGAGTTTTCATACAAGTTTAAACATAATCACATTTTTATCCTACAATGTATAGTGCATTACAAGTAATTGTTGTTTGCATTTTGTGTGTGCACATACATGTATTAAAAGGCATTCCATGCATGATATATCAATGAATCATTACATTTTAAGAGTGAGCACTATTTCAGTTTTTTATAGTTTATATTTGTTTTCAAAACAGGATGTCGTTTCATGATAACATGAATGCAAATGAAGATGATACCGATGATGAAAGTAGACCAAGTGAGGAGGATGACTTGAACTGTACAGGAAATGATGTCAGTCTCTCTGTTGAGACCCCATTATCATGTAATGCTTTCAGGTATGGACTGATTATTAAAGTAAATAGTGTCTATATCAAATTGGATTTATATACATTTAGCTTACTTCACAAAAATATCTTTTTCCAATTATGGCAACTATAATAATTACGTTGTATCAAAACTGAAATGATACTTTAGAAGTCCTTATGTCATATAAACAAAATCACTGTTATATGTTTATAGTAAATACTTTTTTATTCATAGTGTATATATTTTAATGCTGAAATGCTTCATTTAAATGCTTGCTTGGTTCAATTATAGAACACCTACAGATACCAGAAAGCCACTGCCAGTCCCAGTTCTGACTCCTCAATCTGATAGGAAAACAGATCAACAAATAAAGAAAGCAAAAGTAAGACTACTTCCAAAATTCCCTTGTCAGACAAGAAGTGGAATGTCTGTTGCTGTTGACACGGCCTGGCACAAGCGAGGATTTGATTCTCTAACCTGTAAGTTAATTATTTTAGAAACAGTTTTTGTTTTTCTCTAATATTGCATACATATACTATGTGCTATAGGCATAAGTGATGGCAGGGGCTTATGAGTATGTGTGGTGTTAATGTAAGAAATAAATATTTTGCATTCAGTGTCTAGAGATCGTACAATTTTGATACATTACTTTGAAATAATCAGTTTTTAGCTACATATAGAACTATTTATATGTTTTAGTGTTTGTTGTTTATTGTATTTTTTTTGTCATTTCTCACAGCTCACACTTTTTTCATGACCACTGGGAAATCCAGACAGCCAAAGAAAGTTGTTAAAACAATAGTTAGCCATCGGACCTGTGGTGTTTGCAATTGGTGGAGACGCAAAAGGCCGGGCCAGAAAGTACGTCCTCATGCATGTGTCAGAAATCATAGGGGCAGTGCAAGAGCTATGGAAGCAACAAGTGGTGTGAAAGGGGTTAAGGAACTTTTAGCTGAAGGTATTCCAGTGGAATACTTGGAAGGTGATGGTGACAACACCCTTATTTCTAGATTAAAAACTGACCTTGGTGTTTCAATGAAGAAACGTTTTGACAAGAATCATGTTGTAAAAAACTTTACAAAAGGTTTATATAAACTGAAAAGTGAAAAAGGTGTGAAACTTAGCAAAACTGTAATTTCTCATTTAGAAAAATGTTTGAAATATACATTTTCAAAAAATCAAGGCGATCAAATTGGAATGGAAGAAAACCTAAAAGCTATAGTTCCACATCAGTTTGGTGATCATAGTTTGTGTAATGCAAGGTTTTGTGGTTACAAACGGAAGCCTGGTTCCAGCTACACACATCGTAGCCTTCCATATAAAACTTCACTCCAGGACAGTAATCTCAGACAAAAATTACAACAGTTGTTTGATCCAATAATATATAATGCTGGTCACTATATAGATCTTGGTTCGAGCCAACAATGTGAGCACGCAAACAAAGAGGTCACACTAAGAGCACCTAAAAGTCATCAATATGGAAACTCCAGTTGTATTGATTATCTTGTCCATGCAACAGCAGCATTCATAAATGAAGGAAGGCATTATATTTCTAAGGTATGGTTGCAGTTTTGATTCTACTTTTCTTTTTTCATTTGTTTACAGTTAACTGATGTTTTTCAGTTTTTCGTTATATTTCAGTTACCATGTTAATATGGATCATTTTTATAGTTGCTGTTTTTGTGTAATACAATTATTTTTGTTGATCATGTTTGAGTTGTTTACTTGTTGATCATGTTGAAGTTGTTTATTTGTTATCATTTCAGAAGTTGTTGTTGTTCTTTACATATACCTGTTTGTTGGACCTATTGACATAGACTTCTGTGAAGTCCAGAATGTAATGTAAGTAAATAAAGAATTTAAGTTTTCATTATTCAATCTACAAACAAATGCATAGTTAAACAATAAATTTTATAAAAGATGTACTAATATGTTCTTAAATATAAGACAGGATTTTCTTTTATGCACACATTGCAAGAGAAACTTTTCATCCGCCACCAATAAAAGACAATTTGCTAACACATGATGTCATAATTATGAGTAAAATCATAGTCTTTGTTACTAAACAAAATAAGCTGCTACTAGTTTTTCATAATTTCTTTCCAAAAAAAACACCACATAACCTATTGTTATCAAATGATTAAATTATTAACTTGTAAAAAACAGGGTTACTCAATGTTGGGTCTTTCACCTGGGACTCATACAGTTCGTCATGCAGAGAAATGTATGAAACAGCGGGAAAAAAAGAGAGAAAAGGCAAAATCCCCATCCACCAAACTTAGACAATTGTTGTTAAAACAGGAACGGGCCACTAATCAGGGTGCAAATGAGGCACTGGAAGGAGATACATATCAGTCTGGTAAGTTTATATGTAGAACACTTTAGAACACATTATAATGCATATGATGTATATATACAGAGAACATGTAGTACCCATGAATGTAGGGGCGTCCGTAGCCGAGTGGTTAAGGTCGTTGACTTCAAACCACTTGCCCCTCACCGCTGTGGGCTAGAATCCCGACAGGGACTTTGGATTCTTTTATGTGAGGAAGCTTTCTTGCTAGCTTACAGAACGTCGGTTACTCAGGTGCCCATTCGTGCCTGAAATAATGCACGGAAAGGCACCTGAGGTCTTCCTCCACCAGTAAAGTTGCGATATGACCTATACTGTGTCAATTTGACGTAAAACCAAAAGAACAAAAACAAACAAATATGAATATATGCAAAATACTTTTTTAATACTAGCCTTAAGGTAGTACAAATCTAAAAATATGTAGAACATATGTAGAACACCTGTGTTGCAAATGTAGAATTCATACATTGACATATGTTGAACAAATGTAGAGCACAAATATAATGCTTGTTGAACACATGCTCTATACATGTTATAAAAAAAAAACACTCAAAATCCAGAATATGTTTGGATTAGAAAATATAGAAATTACAGTTTATTTTGTTTGGATCAAATAGAGTTTTGAATAATTTGTTTGTTTTCAGACAATGGCATTTTACATAGAGCTAAACCTAAACAGTTTATTTCATGATATACAATGTTAATTATTGAAAAATGAATTCTACAGGTATTGGTCATGAAGAAACTGTCAATGTCGAGAAAATACCTGATTCAATTCCAAGGGGAAATTTCAAGTCTGCCAAATTCCATGGAAAGCCAACTATAATATCCTTTGACTTGGAAACAACTGGGCTAAGTGAGTTATCATTTTTACAAATTTCAATTTACACATGATTTTAAAGTGCTTCAAAGATCTTGATAACTAACATTATTTCATATCCTTTATTTGGTTTAAACATATATTAATTCAAGGTAATATATACATGTTAATAATTTACAATTTAAGCAGAAGGGAATACCCTTTATTTGTATTTTCAAAGACTTTGTTACTGCCTGTATGAATTGTGGATGAATTAAAAATTTAACAGCTTTATTTTTCCAGCAATTCACCATAAAAACAGTTATAAAATGGGTTTTTTAGTTATATTTTAATGTATGTTACAGTTCAAGGAGGAGTCCTACCTCAGATAACACAAATTTCGGCAGTAGAAGTTGTGTCAGGGCAACAATTCAACACATATGTCAACCCTACAGTTCCCATTGATAGAACAGCAACTAGTGTTACTGGAATAGCATATTTTGAAGGCCAGATGACAGTTAATGGAACAAAGGTTCAATCTGTGAATATTAGATCAGCAGTTGATGATATGATCGCCTGGATTTCTAAATTTCAAAATGTGTGTTTAGTTGCACATAATGGACGTAGGTTCGATTTCCCAATTTTGGTAACAACGCTCACAAATCTCGGAGTTTTTGATAAGTTTTCAAAGTGTGCATTTATTGATTCTTTGTCTGTGTTTAGAAAAACTTTATCCTAAGCAATCTTTGAAACAAGTTGACCTTGTATCCACTATTCTTGGTGAAGTGTATGATGCACATAATGCCATTGAAGATGTAAAAGCACTCGGAAAGTTAATTCAGCATGTGAATCTCCCAACTAAAGATTTGATGGAACATAGTTTCAGTCCATCAGCAGTGGCCAACAACATCATGTTCAATAAGGCTAAAGCCTCAAATTTATCATCATTGAATCCTTTGATTTATACAGGGGTAATGAAAAGACCTACTGCTGAAAACATTGCAGGATCTGGATTAAATTTGTCACATTTAAAGCTGTTGTATAGTCGCGGTGGGGAGGACGCTTTACGGGATGTTTTCACAGCTAAGAATTCTGAAGGCTTGCCAAGAGTCACAAATGTTAAGAAATTATTGGATGAAATTATTCCTAAAATGTCAAAGTTTTTTGAGTAAAAAAAATGATTAGGTAACTTGTTTGACAAGTTCTCAGAAAAAAATATTTTTCATACATGTGTGTTATTTATTCAAACATCGAGGTCAACATTGACACTAATAAAGACATTTTATAATATACTTTAATGAAGTGGTGTTATGGAACTTGACTTATAGCTATTATATTTATGATTTGTTGTATATAATCTCAGGAAGTTCAACTATGTCTTAGTTAGATATGAAAATATTTGCAATTATTCACTTATATTTTTATCATTCGCTAAATTTTCATAGAGTTGTAACAAACAGTTTTGTGGCAGGAAAAATTTCAAAACAATTATGAATATCAGCTTAGAAATTGTTCTACTATGTCTTTTTAATGACATAAATCATATATATTGTGATTCTATGACTGATATTATCATTATTTATAATATATATGAACTCGGTATATTTTCAATAATTGAAATTTGGAAATAAAATGATTATTTTATTTTCCGCATGTTATGCTTTGTTCACTTTTTTGTTAAAATAATGCGGGCAAATTGTTTGATTGGCCTTTATTTCCCTAAGTAATAGGGTGTTGATGAAAAATAAGCGCTTAAGTTTTAATGAATATTCATGTATTTGAAAAAAATATCAATAATTGGAGGTGGTACTTTTTTGTCTACAGTCAGATGGCGGCCATTTTTTTTCAAGTCATTTCAGAAAATCAAATTTTTTTTCTATTTCCCCCTATCAAGATTAATTTTTAAGCCTGATGTTTTATAAAATGACCCTTTCTGATTCATATATACTAATTTTTGTGGTAAAAACAACATTTTTGAGTAAGAAATGACACTTTTACCTACCATACAGGTAAAACAAGACTAGAAGATTTTCAAAATACGGGGGGTGATAAAAAATTACAAATATTTTTTTTATTTACATGGAAAGATGGTCTTAAATTTTGAAGATAAGTCGGTAAAATGGTACAGATTATGAAAATAATATGCAAAAAAAAAATTGAAATGATGTCCATTAGAGGTGTGCTACCTTAAAGCTTTACTACTGTTGAATTATTCCACATTCTTTTCATAACAACGGTGAATTTGAGGTAAGAAATATTCATTAGTTATTTTGTTTAAATGTTATAATGAAACATTCAACACGGCACAGAGTGCCATTCCATAAGATGCGGGTGTATGATCATAAAAACCGGCGTATGCCCTGAACAGGATTATACGTTCTGATAAATTGTGTTAGATATGCAGTAATAACCGGCCACTTTACACATGCTTTAGTAGATAGATAGACGAATGAGACATTAACTTGTTCATATTATTTTTTTTAAATATTTGGCATAATTATCGTTTCTTATGTTTTGTTTCTTTTTATAACGTTCATATAATTATTTTGATAACATAGTAAAAAATGCTTATGTCATAAGCAAATATACTTTTGAGATAATTGCATATTATTACGACAACTATATTTTCGTAGTTCAAATTTTAAAAACAAATAATTCTTTACCAATTTGTGCTATGGTATGGATATTTTAGGATTGAAAGTATGTTTTGCTTATCTTAAAGCTGGCAATAAGTTATACTATCTTATTACTAATTAAACTATTTAACAGAAAATTAAATAAAAAGTCCGTGAAATGTCTTTTCTAGTCAATGTTACTAAAGTCCGTCTAACTACGACATTTTGTGAAAGTTTTCATGCAGGGTTGTCTACTCATAAATAATCATTATGTTGTACTATTTTGTCGTTGAAAAAAATGAGAGCATTATCGCGACTTTAGAATTGGATAGAGTTAAGCGGCAAAACACCAACAAAATTAATATACAGAACAAACAGCCGTGATCCTATGCTCAACCCAAATGCACAATGGAAGAACATTCGTCTGTCCGTTTGTTTTTTCCGTCCGAAACAATATCTATGAACTAGTTTGTCAATTTCAATTACTATTGGCTTGTATTCATTGTGTGTTGCCCTTATACAGTGCTGTGTTGTTATGCGGGCAGCATTTTGTAACCGTCAGTATTTGTGGATATTTCCTTTTATATTGATTGTATGTTTAAATACGGAATTAAGACTACCCAATTACATAAACATGTTCGTATAGGTCATTGAATTGTGGTCCATCGACGCATAAATAGGCACTATCTGTTCACACTTTGTATTCATTCTGGTCAATATTTGTTAGAATTTGTATGAATCAATCATAGCTCCGCTATTTTGTAAGAACATAATGCTTTACCCTTAGTGTAACAAACTTAAAGACATTCAATAATATCGTGTTAGCGGGTTGTATACAACAACAATGTCGTAATTCATTAGGAGCGGCACCAGTGACAGATAATTAGTAAATTTGAATCAAAGTTGAAATATTGCCTCTGGAGTAATCACCTCAACGCACCGTTGTGGATTGTTTTCTAATATAATCAGTTGTTTTTCCGAATGTTTTTGTTTCATGTTTAGCTCAGTTACATGATAAAAAAAAACAAAGTCATATTTTACGGTCATTGATGACGCTATGTTTTTTTGTTTGTTTTTTGTTTTTTGTTTTTTTTTTGTTTTTTTTCCCTCAAGACAATTTGTCATTAAAGTAACTGGCATTGAACTTTTTAATTCGCCTGGCTGCATATTTACAAGATGTTTGATACTCCATATGAATATCATAATACGCTACTATTTCGCTAACATTTGTGTATGTGTTTTTGTAAGAATATAGTTTAAGTCTTTAGATTTCATACGCTTTTACATGATGTATTCGTACCTATTTTACAAAGTATTATTTTAAATTTGTAACAATAAATTACCGTGCCTTATTTCAAATATTCTGCCTTGCCGATATCGACAGCAATACCGTTTAAGACGATAAAGTCAGCCTTGTGACGCTGATGGGTTCAATATGGCTCAGTCTTTCCTTGTATCCAGAACATCATGCTGAAATTTATACGCAGTACAGGCACAGTATGATGCATCTCTTCATTTGTAATGCAATTAAGACACTATTTAAACTGCCTTTTTCTTTGATGTTTAACTCTATTTAATTTTGTTTTTGAAATCTTTCTTGCTATCTTATCTTCTTTATATTGTTTCTTTATTTATTGTTTGTTTTCTTGGTATCCTTAAATACCAGACTAATTATATTGAAATATATTTGATTTAGCAAAAAATAGCATTGATTGATGTGTATGGTATATCGTTTTATAACTAAAAAAGGAAAATTAAAGTTGGGAGTGTCTTAAAAATCATTTATTATGATTTAGTTTATACAAAATGCATTGTCATTTCATTTGCGTAGGAAGCTGTAAGCATATAGACACAATCCGCCCTTGGAATTCGCTCTTGTATCAACCAGGACTGCGCAATGAGTGCACAATCTCTTGCACGAGGTGGAAAACTGCTCGCTTCTGACGGGGTTTGACCTTAGATAGCAAGTCGGTCTTGCTAAACTATTTTTTATAAAAAGGACGCATGACATAACTTTCTTAATTACAGAGTACAAGTAACGGAATCGATTATGAAATCAAACAAAGATATTTATTTTGGCTAGTCTTGTTTATAAAGCATCAAATATTGCTTATTGTTATGAAAATTATTCAGCTTCAAAACATAAAAAATGGTCACACGTATTTGGCGTAAAAAAGAATTGATATAGCATGTACGCAATATATTGAGATACCTTAAAACAAAGTGTATACGTACGCTATCTTATTATAATAAAATATCATTATTTTGTTTAATATATTATCATCATTTAGGTATTCATATGAAATGTAGCAGTCATAATTTAGTACAGGTTCTGAAAAGTGCCGTGCTGATTTCTTATCTTTATTGTTTATAAAAACTAATCGCCCGTGCCTTGCCCTCGTTTGCTCTTTTGTGTTTGTTTGATGTCCAACTAGACTCCTTGTCGATTGTCCAGTGTTGCTTTGTTGCGCAAAATGTATGCATGGAAGGGCGCCATTCGTTTTTATATTTAATTGGATATACAAATGGCTTCAAATACACTCATGGCACGAGGCGAAAATGTAAGCATTGACACAGGATAATGATAATAACCAGATATTAATGTAATTGAGTTACACTTAAAAATAACACTGAAAATAAAAACTATCCATATCGCACACAGTATATCACTAAGATTGGCTATGTGGTTCAGCAGAACTATTATGCTGCCTATTTGTTGCATTTGTACAATATACGATTAATTTTGTAAACATATTTTGGGTACCAATGCATTGACGTAAAAAATAAACAACAAAGTAAATTGCCTTTTTAATATGTTTATATGAGTCTTATCTAATGCAAACAAACAAACTAATGAAAAACACAAGGAAGCATTACCATTCAAATAAAATTGATTAATGACGCCTAGAAAGCTGTTCTTAAGGAGCGCAAATTCGCAAAAGCAATACAGATAAAGACTAAATGACGACAATGTAATTCAATTTTACTTAAAATTGACAAATTTAGTTCTCATAACGTAAGGAGAAAGGGATTTTATCTTGAATTTGATGAATGAGTAAAATGACAATTACAGCTTAAGCAGCTTTTATTACCTTTTTTAGATAACCAAATGCATGTTTCGATTTAATTTGTATCTTGACCAAAGATAATTAGCCTGCACGGCTGTGTACTCTTCTAATTACTTTTGGCTCCACACAAATTCATGAATGATATAAAGTTTAAAGTGTATTGGCCTACAATTCGCACACTTTTCAATCATTAATCTTTTCAGATATTAAAGTAAGTCAAATGTATCATTGACATATTGTTTTATACATAATATAAATAGATGTTGATTTAAAAGAGATTAAGAATGAACATGATAAATTATAATATTATTATGTTTAAAGGCAATATATATTACATGTTATAGATATGTCAATTAAGAGTTACCAGCAACACACGTATGTCATCCTTTCGAGTTTGTTGTCAACATAATCACTCATTTATAGCAGTAACCTAATATATTCAATTATGGAGCAATACATTTAATATGTTGGCACTAGTGCTTGAAGTTT